GCCCCGACAACATCAAAATTGTGGGTGGGGTAGGTGAAACACCCACACTTGCCCCCACCCTCATTCACCCCACTCTGGGCCCATGAGCAAGGCCCTTAACCCCCACCATGTGCTCCCTAAACAGGTCTCTCTTGAAAATGAGTTCTCGTGGCTCAATGAGACTAACCTGGATAAATAAAGGCTAAATGAAAAAAATATATATATACTGAACTGAACCCCGTTGTTTGATTCCTGCAGGAACTGCACTACTGTGTGTCAAGGAACATGTACAGAATGAATCGAGGCTGCAAACTGAAAGTGATGCATCCTGGGAACTACTCTGTGAGGATTCGGGCCACCTCTCTGGCTGGGAACGGATCACTAACTGAGCCCACATACTTCTATGTTCAAGATCCAAGTAAGTCTGATTGATTGATTGATGGACAGACAGATGGACGGATACATTTTGTTTTTCACTTATTGTAACCATCATATTTGAACCAATGTAAATTTCTTCTTATCTACTAAACAAAGTCTATTTTTGCCATATAAATGGCAAATATTAAATATTCCAATGGACCTACATTTGATGTTTTTTTAAGAAAAGTATACCAAAATTGCATTATTTCAAAATAAGTCTAAAATACTTTGAATTCTGATTATATTATATTACAATTTTGCATGTTACCATTGTGTAAAATGTTAAAAATCTCCAAATGGAATCTATAAATGAGACTAAATGACTATAAGTCAGAAGATTAGCAGTGTGCAGACACTTTTATAAAAACGCAGCAGCAGTAAATCACAAGTTGCTCCTAATCGTTCCTGAAGGAGTCTCCGTGCTCGCAGCAGCATATGGATCTCATTTGTGCGGGTTTGTTCTGTGCAGCTTGTTTTTGTTGTTCACCTGAAACGTGACACGCTTCGGGCGGATGTTTTTTTGAACAGGCGATCCGTTCTACATTGTGAAGATCATCATCGCTCCGCTCATCTGCTTTGTCCTGTTCCTGTCTTTGTCCGTCGTAGGATTTGTCCTGTTCAAGAAGAAGTACGTAACCGCCACAACCTGTTCAATCCTTGCAGTGTTTTCATTTGGCCAGTGTGTTTATCAATTGTGTTGTTTGCTCTTTTAGTCAAACCCAAGGGCCTAGCGGTCCCATTTACGCCTCTTCAAACCCAGAGTATCTCAGCACTAATGACGGTAAGAGAACGCTTTAAATCGTTTGATTGACATAAAGGCCGCATTTACAAAGGGGCACCTTGTTCAAAACACGCCCCACTGAGAGCGGCAAGAAATGGTCTTAAATGATGTTGGGAACTAGTCGACAACCAAAAGTTTTTATATTTTTATTAAAAGATTATTATAACATCAAGCAAAAAAAATATATATATGTCATTTCATACAAGTCCATAACACAGATCAAGTCATTTCAACTGTAGCTTTTAGGTCGGCAATAATGTTGCTTTAATTTTACTGAAAATTAAAGAATTACACAAAATTTATTTAACAGATATAAGAAAGCACACTACAGCAGGAACATGTCGGGTTTCATTTAGAAGCAAATCAGGATTGAATGTCAAAACCTCATGCAGAAGTTTTTAGCACCAGCTCACAAATCACCTCAGGTACAGTAGTCCCTCACGACTTCGCGGTTCAACTTTTGCAGACTCGCTCTTTCGCAGTTTTTCAAAGTAAGAGTGGGCATGACTAGGCCTGTCACGATAACAAATTTTTCGGGGCGATTAATTGTCTCAGAAATTATTGCAATAAACAATAATATTGTTTGAAATTTGACTATAATTAGTAACTATTGTCAAATTTAAGAAGAAATGTTGGTTAATTTGTTTTGAGTGTAGTACATTTTTTGACCACCGGATGGCAGTATACGACTGTTTGAACCAAAGGATGGATAGTGAGAGTGCGAGCAATGTGTCTTTTTAAGACATCCATGCATGGATTGTTTATTTAAAATATTACAGTATTTAAATTTTAATTGTTTATTTACTCAGAAGGAGGGAGATGGGGAGTGAAACTTGAACTTGGACTACTGTATCTCTACTTCACGGTTTTTCACTTATCATGGGGGTGTGGTTTCCTAAACCCCGTGATAAACGAGGGACTACTGTAATCCTAAAATATGTTTATATTTTATAAATCTGCAATTGAGTTAAAACTTTTAAACTAGTCGCTTAACTCAGGAAAATAGAACCAAGACACAGTTGAAGGTGTATTTTTTATGCATTAACAATCAGTTCATTGTTTGAGATGTTAGATTTTAATTTTTTTTTTTTGTTCCCATGAAAATTTTAAATGTACAACCACTTCATGAGATGCTAGTAGCACACACTGTTTTGTTGCTTGGCCATTTTAATTTTCTATCAGTCAGTTACCTGCTGCTGCCTTAACTTGTCCACTTTAAAACATTGACTAAAGACATTTGAACTGTTTATTTTTACCATTAAGCTCCTATTTTGGTATCTATATGGTTATTGTGCACAAAAGGGCCCTATCCCCAATAAAACAAACATTTTCACATTTTTACTACAGTAAAATTCTTGTTACAGAACATGTAATTTTTTTAATTTACAGGTAGAACCTGGCTTTCAGCAGTAACGGCTTGAAAAATAAGTGAAGTACCAACGTCTGTTTTAGTGTGTGGGTGCATCTAGATGCATTTACAGTTCCTTTTGAAAATTGGTTGGCCAGATCAAAATCCAAGATGGCCACCACCATGTATTTGTGAACTTTGTGAGTGCGATAACAAATAAGCAACGAGGCAACTTCTTTTTTGGTGTGTGTTTGCATGTAGGCGTAAGGAGTTAGATATTTATACGTTTTATATTCAGTTTTATTATCTCAAAAATGCATTTGATAATGAAAAACCCATCATGTACTTCTTGCAGTGTATGAGGAGGACGAGTGGGAGGTGCCCCGAGACAAGATCAACATCCTGAGAGAACTGGGACAGGGCTCCTTTGGCATGGTCTACGAAGGCATCGCTAAGGACATCATAAAGGGCGAGGGGGAGACGCGGGTTGCGGTTAAGACGGTGAACGAGTCGGCCAGCCTCAGGGAGAGAATCGAGTTCCTGAACGAAGCCTCGGTCATGAAGGCCTTCAGCTGCCATCATGTGGTAAAGACACATGTCTTGTTTTCATCTTGCAGAGGACTTTGTGGTCTCCGTTTGTTTACTGCTGACGGGTAAAAGAACAGGGTGGGGTTTGAATCAGTGGACCTCAGCCGTTTGTTTGAACTGCTGTTTCCTGTATGCAGAACAAGAAGTACCAAATGTGTGCATGAGATCTTCTCTAGGATTATCTACAACAATGGCTTTTACTGGACAACCTTTCATTTGTATTGTTTTTATATTATAAAATAAGACTGCAGTTAATAAAACCTGTTTGTCGTCGTCTCTCAGGTGCGACTGCTGGGCGTTGTGTCGAAGGGCCAGCCAACATTAGTGGTGATGGAGTTAATGACCCACGGAGACCTGAAGAGCTACCTGCGCTCCCTGCGACCTGACGCTGAGGTAATCAGACGTGCTCACAGACGTATTCAGAAATGTAAACGTCACAAGGGTTCAAAGTCCACATAGTGAGTGTCTTCAAAGTCCACATAGTGAGTGTCTTTTAAAATGTGAGTTGGGTTTATGGTCAGATTGCAGTTGTTGATTGCAGCATTAAAAGTATTTCAGTGGATTAAGCTAAATTTAAGGCATTGAATTAAATTTTAATCTCAGTAAATATTTTTTGTTTGTCCATCCATCCATCCATTATCTTTACCTGCTTCTTCCATTTTGGGTCACGGGGGTCGCCGGTGCCCATGTCCAGCAATCACTGTGCGAGGGGCGGGGTACACCCTGGACAGGTCTCCAGTCCATCACAGGGACACATAGAGACAAATGAGACAAACAACCATTGACTCTCTCACTCACACCTAGGGACAATTTAGAGTTACCAATCAGCCTAACATGCATGTTTTTGGTCTGTGGGAGGAAACCGGAGCACCCGGAGAATCCCCACGCATGCACGGAGAGAACATGCAAACTCCACCCAGAAATGCCCCTGGACCGGGGTTTGAACCAAGGACCTGCTCGCTGAGAGGCAGCAGCTCTACCAGTTGCGCCACCGTGCTGCCTGTCCATTTTTTGTTTGTTTTCAAGAAAAATGAGTTGTGCAATTTTGGAAACTGCTCAGCCAGACTCGCTCATCGGGGTGATCAGGATACTTTTTTGGATTCAGGGACCCCCTCATAACCCCCATGTTTATTGAATAATTTTCTTCTATTTGTCTTTTTATTGCGATCTGGACTAAATTTACATTATGTGAAGAGCTCTCTGCACAAACACAGATATATTGGTTTTGTGTTAGTGCTGTAACTAAATCTTCAACGTCTTTCTATATTAAATTCTGCTGCATACGTTTTATATGTGGGGAGATTACCTGCATGTGTCACCTTTTGAAGTAAGCATCCAGACGATCGGAGGTGGTGGAGGACGGGGCTGTTGGTGTTAAAGCAGCCGGCGTTAATTTAATCTATAAACCAGGGCGGTTTTCTCAAACAGGCGTGTTCATGTCGAGTGGGACAGTGTTTGAAGTCTCTCCTAGATGTAGCATCTAAGAAGAAAACGAGGCGTTATTGTTGCAGGTGCAGTTTAGCAGATGAGAAAGTGAAAATTTGTTTTGTGTCCCTCAGAATAACCCTGGACGTCCTCCGCCCACCCTGAAGGAGATGGTCCAAATGGCCGCAGAGATTGCAGACGGCATTGCCTACCTCAACGCCAAGAAGTTCGTGCACAGAGACCTGGCAGCCAGAAACTGTATGGTCGCTCACGACCTGACTGTCAAAATCGGAGGCAAGTTTTCATGTAGCAGAACAAACAAACGCTGAAGAGTTATAAATTTGGTTGAAGTCGGCATAAATTAGATATTTTCTAACATTTTGATCCCCGTTGGTAAAATGTAAAGACACTAAACACAATTCAGGTTTTTTATTCACGTTGACTCAAAAGTAATAAAACTTTAATTTATAGAGATTGTAGTAAAGACCATTTTGAAGCCATAAAACTTTAATTATTGAAATGTATAAGCATTCAAAGCCATATCTGATACGTTATTAATATGCATGTTAGCATGCAGGTAGCTGTCTCTGCAAAAATAAGCTATACATTACATATTACATATATACATATACATATAATTATTACTGTTTTTCTTTTACATTTTATTGTTGGATGTAACTGGGACCCTGCGTACCTAATCTCGTTCCACCACATGTACCACATGAGATGCGAATGACAAATCTCTCTGACACTCTGACTCTGATATAATGTATATACATTACATTTTTAGGTCATTTTACAAACACTTTTTAGATCATAATATTATTTATGCAGCTTTTATGAAGGAGAGCAATCAGACTAGCTTGTTTATGGGTGCTTGAATAATTCAGCCACTCATATCAACACTTTGTAAACCTTTTAAACAACCCTGTTATAGTGAAATGTACAGCTGATCTCAGTATAAATAAAGTAATACGTTTTTTTTTTTTTTTTTTTTGGGGGGGGGGAAATGCATACATTAAACCGAAGACAAAAATATCTAATTTTAGTTATAAATTTGGAAAAGCAATTATTTAAACCTTGGAAGTTTTTGAGTCAGTCCTGGTGTTAACCCAAGATGAATAAAAGATGAAAATCTGTTAAAGGGGCAAGTTGTTGCTGATGGTGTTTCTATTCAAATGCAGACGAGAAATAAATTTATATTTTATTAGCAGTGGCTGCAATGATGGATGCTTCCATTCCTCAGAAGAGAACCATCTTTTATGTAAAAGTAGGAGTTTCAGAGTCACAGCTAAATAAACAAAAGCTTTTCCACTTTAATTCTTTGTGCAGGGATTCTTCTTCTTCTTTTTTTGCAAAGCAACAAATAAGTCACATTTATCAGTTTATGTCCCATGTATAAGTTGATGTTGTACTTTGTTTTCTCAAGCTCTAGGTAACTTAATCAGGGCAGATAGTTTAACCCATTGAAACCAGTTACAAACACAACTAACAAATGCCAAACTACGAGCCCTGGAGAATAAATGGTGGATTTATAGACGACAGGAATCATAACTGTTGATTCTCTCTCCCCCACAGACTTCGGCATGACCAGAGACATTTACGAGACGGACTACTACAGGAAGGGAGGGAAGGGCCTGCTGCCCGTCAGGTGGATGGCTCCTGAGTCTCTGAAGGACGGGGTCTTCACTGCACATTCAGACTGCTGGTCAGTCACACCTCTGATTTAAGCACACAACAACTAAGACACTCTTCCTCAGTATCACCTTATCTGTCACACACTGAGATGCTTACAAACAGACCAGAACCAGACAAACTGTCCTGTGAACGCAGTGTGTTATATGGCTGAAATGTGCTGAAGGAACTAAAATGTTAAAGGTAAAAAAGACAGAACAATAGCTAAAAGTAGGGGTTGAACAACTACATAATTTTTAAAGTCGACATTAACATAATAAAAGTCGAGTAGAACTCAAGTAGTTGATGACGTCATAGGATCTCAAAATGAAAAATAAATAAATAAAACCACAAAAAAAAATAATTTATAAAAAAGGACCAACAAAACATCGGGAGAGTATATTATGCTCCTACCATTTATCATACTGCCAATAAGTCACAGGAAAATCAAAACTATTAGTTATTATTATTATTATTATTATTAAGCTACAAAAGTGAAAGAAACGTGCAGCACGTCAAAAACGAAACTAAAAACAGTGGGGCGGACGACCACCCCGCAGTGTTGCGCATTAGGTTTAGTTTTAGAGATTAATATGTTTATAGGGGTTTTATAGGTTTAAAGATTAATATTTTTTGCTTTTTGTTTGTGAAACAAGGTCAGAGGAAGCTGTTTCTGGTTCGGTCATTGGATCCGGTGTTGCACCATATTCTGTGACCTGCAACAGTGCATGCAACACCACCCCCTACGGTCACAATATATGATGGTCACAGAATGTGATGTAACACCGGTTCGCACTGAGCTCAAAACAGTCAGGAAGTTGATTCATTTTCTGTTTCCTTACGGTAGTTGAACGGGAAGATTCATCTTAAGTTAAATACTTCCATACTATTGATGGATTTCTACCTGTTTGCCAAGACTGTGCCTGCTCCGCTCCATCCGTCTGCTTGGAGGAATCCATTTTGTAGCTTCTACTAGTAGCCCAGTGTGGATCACGTGACGCAATGACCTAACTGCGACGTAATGACGTCACTGTGAATACTCGACATGAAATTTAAAATGTCGGGAGATGTCCTAGTAATTGAATTATCGATTACTCGAGTAGTCTGTTAAAGCCCTAGCTAAAAGTAACAAAAGGCTAGCTAAAATAAAAATAAAATATCAAAACACTATCCTAAAGTATCAAAACACTAGCCAAAAGTAACAAAAGGCTAGCTAAAATCAAAATAAAATATCAAAACGCTATCTTAAAACATCAGAAAATTAGCTAAAAGTAACAAAAGGGTAGTTAACTAAAAGCTAATTAATAACTTAAAGCTTATTAAAAGCTAATAGTATTTAAAGGCTTATTACAAGCTAAAAGTAACAAGATGCTAGTTAAAGGCTGGTTAATGACTATCTAAAATCAATACACTGGTATTAACAGCTAAAGGTGGCATAAGAAGACAAAAATATAGCACATTTGAAAGAGCACAATCATTTTGAAGAGGTCTGTGTAGGAGAAAATATATTTTTAACTAAAGTTAATCTTTTGAAAAGTATAAACGTTCCAAAAAGCTAAAATCATATCACCCATGTCCTGAATGAGCTAAATGTTGTGATGTATAAATGGCTGAAAAAGCACAAAGAAAAACCAGGAAACAATAGTTTGGGCCCTGAATCATGATTCAAACATCAACATGTGAAACAATAACAGACCAGTCTCAGCAGGTTTCTTTGTTTATTGTCATTTATCAGGATCAAAGCTTCTCCTGCACAGAATATCCCTCTGTTTACAGACAGATTTACTCCGTCAGGTGTCTAATCGGCCTGTCCTCTTTGTCGCTGTTTACCAGGTCGTTTGGGGTGGTGCTGTGGGAGATCAGCACGCTGGCTGAGCAGCCGTACCAGGGCCTGTCCAACGAGCAGGTCCTCAAGTTCGTCATGGACGGAGGCTTCCTGGACCGGCCTGACAACTGCGCTGACAGACTGTAAGTACATGAGCAAGAAGTGAGACAAATCAAAGCTTTTTTTTTTGGTTTTGTTGTACTGTAAAATCACTTTCACTCCATCTTCATCGAGATTCGGACAGCTTTGAATTTTATTTCTGGCATTTTAATCTCACCAAATATAAAACAAAAATTAATAACACAAGTTTGTTTTTGTCTTTATCTCCGATTGACAATGAATAGTGTTTTAAAAATAGTTAAACCAATAACAACAGCATTAAATTGATTTATAAACAAAGCAATTATCATGATGGAAGGACTGGCGGATATTACTTTAAAATGGAAGTGGAGGGCGTCGGGTTTGGATTAGTGAGGATTTATGGAGCAGGGTGATGAACTTGGTGTCGACTAAAAATACACATCGTCACTTTCCATCTGATAAATCAACATGTCATTCACTCTAGCTAGCTAAAGCCATAATTCCCGTGTTTTTAACAGTGGCGGGTCGTGCCCGTCACAGCTGGACCTCCTCTAAATTAAATCCTTTCGGTCCCAGCTGCTGAGCAAACCGCTTCCAATTCAACTGAAGCTCCAAATGTTCAGGTGTTGAGACCTTTTATAAACAAAGTCCAAAGTTTTATGGAGCAGTCATCTTGCAAAAGGCCGCCAATATCAAATATCTGTTTCTGTCTTCAGAGCATGCAATATAGGCAGCGCAGCTTTAGCTCCACCTCCTCTAAATTAGCGTCAGGGTTGGCTAGAAGTGAATAAAACGTCAAATCTGATTGGTTCGTCAATCCGAACTTATGCTCTCATACTGCTAAAATGTTATGTTAATAAAAGTAATAATAGAATTGCCAATACTTTTTTGTTGGTAGGTGTGAAAAGTTAACGTTTTCCCGCCTGACGCAAACCATCCCTTTGTGAGGCGTAGGCCTGTCGCGATAAACAATAAATCTATTAATTGCATGATAAATGAAAATTATCGACCTCATTTTATCGGTTTTATTGTTTCTTCACGTCTCTCTCTTTCTACTGAAGACACTGGATGACAAAAGACTCAACTCTGGTGCTCTTCACTGACCCCTCCCTTTCTCTTTTCTCTTTAAAATTAATTTTAATCGTCCAAAATTGTGTTTTTGGATTGTTAAAGCTGAGAAGCTAAGCTACAAGCTAAGCTAACAGACTGACCTCGGGGGGGGGGAAAAAACCTCTGTCTTGTTGAAGCTCCAAAATTCATGTTTGAAAGCCGTGCCTTCGTGTAAAAAGTTGTTTTCTCTGCAAAAAGAAGCTGAGAACTTGTTTACTGATTTATTTATTTTTATTATTAAAAGCTCTGTGTGGAAAATGCTATGCTAAAGAGCTCAAACCACACCGAGCATCTGCCATTTTGAGAACCAAAAATAAGGAGACAGCCCATGTCACGTCAAGGGGCCTCCCTCCCATTTTTCTTAGAGACGCTGCTCATTCCCTCACTATCCATCCTTCGATTCAAACAGTCTTATACTGCCATTCAGTGGTCACAAAAAGGTACTACACTCAAAACAAATTGACCAAGATTTCTTCTTAAATTTAACAATAATTACTAATTATTGCCAAATTTCAGACAATATTATCGTTTATCACAATAATTTCTGAGACAATTAATCGCCCAGCAAAATTTGTTATCGTGACAGGCTTAGTGAGGCGTTCAGGCTGAAAACACTGAAACAAGCTCATGATATGTTGTCATATTATAGACGAGGAAGCATTAAATTATTTTACTTCATGTTATAAACATAATTAAGATACTATTTTTCCTTTCTTTCTTACCGTTTTTGAACCTGTGCTGAATACATTGAAAACCCTGACGGTTTGCCAAGGCACAGAAAAATAGCACATTTCAGTCGTTATATGTGATAGTTGGATAATTTTATCATGGTTTGATGTTTAAATTAGTAATTCATATGAAATTGAAGGATTATTAACTGTACAAGCTGATGTTAACATTATGAAAGTAAAAGCAAGCAGCATTTGAGCTCTCACCCGTCTCCTCCTGCAGACACAACCTGATGCAGATGTGCTGGCAGTACAACCCCAAGATGCGCCCCAACTTCCAGGAGATCATCGAGATGCTGAAGGAGGACCTGCACCCCACCTTCCGCGAGGTCTCCTTCTTCTACAGCGAGGAGAACAAGCCCCCGGAGAGCGAGGACTTCGACCTGGACATGGAGAACATGGAGAGCATCCCCCTGGACCCCTCGTCGTACTCGCACAACGAGCATTGCTCGGAGAGGGGCGAGCGCTCCTCCGTGGGGCTGAGGGGCAGCTACGAGGAGCACCACATCCCGTTCACGCACATGAACGGGGGCAAGACCAACGGACGGATACTGGCTCTGCCGCGGTCCAGCCCCTCCTAACAAACACAACACACCCAGCAACAGATTTTCTATTTTTCTCGTTTTGTTCTCGTTTTTTAGAAATCACTTTTATCACTTTGTCCTCAGACGCCCCTCAATGCAAAACTCAGGACCTTATTTTTCTCTCCAGATGCCACAAACACACTACAGCAAGTCCACGCACAGCGGACGCCTCGAGACACTTTTTGTATTTAAGGACAAATCTCCTGCGTCTCTTATCGTTGATTGTACTTTATATACTGTAAATACCAATATATATATATAAATCTATATATATATATATTGCCAAGTTTGTGCTTGACTGGGTGGATATGGATTCAACTGTGAAACAAACTCTTGATAAACAAGAAGGCTGCTACCCCCAACACCCCCCACCCCCTTGGAGCCCAGGTCTTGTCCGTTCCTCGCCTCCCACAATGAAAAGTGCCCTTGGATTGTCTGTGGCCTGCAGCAGTTGTCATGGAACTGTGTCTGAGTATTTGTACACAACCGGATGACAAACTGTAAACAGACAAAAAGACTTCCTCTCTGTCGTACGGTGAAAGAGGATCCATCCTCGAACAAACTTTAATCCACTGGAGAAGCTGGTTGAAGTGGCTTACCTCCTCACACTCTGCAGTATTCCAAAATGGCACACAGGATAAACACTTTTTGATGGGTTCTGTTTTTTTAATTTATTTACCAGTTTCTTCTTTTCCTTTCTTTTTGTTTTCCCCACATTTACAGCTGAAGGATATTGAAACTGTTTACAGAGATGTGTTGGCAGTTCGTCAGATTTACCAATAGCTGCTTTGTTGGTATATTTTAGTGGATATAGAAGTTAAGAAATATATATATATAAATATTATATTGATGTTTTTGTACATAGTTGATGCATCGTCATTCTTGAGGTATTTTCAGTTAGATGTTTGTACATGTTAGTCTCTTCTGTTTTTTTCCTAATCCAGAAAGAATATACTAAATAGCTTTTTTGGGGACTCATGATCAACCAACAGCTCTTGGTCTTTTTACAGTTCGATGCCCGTGAGGAAGAGGAGGAGTGTTTGGCATCTTCAGCTTAAAGTGTCTGCCCATCATACCAAGATCAAATAAAGTAGTGCTGTAAATAATGCAGCGAGGTGCATTTGCGATAAGATTTGTCTTCATTACGTGCTTTTATTTTTTTTATTGTGTAAATATCAAACGGGGACCTTCAGTGGATGAACCACAAAAGGTTATGAAAGTTTGTTTTTCTGGCTTTTTTTTTTTCCAAAACTAAAAGAATATTAACATTTTGCTTCTATGTAAAGGAAAA